TACAGTCTACAGCTCTCTCCCTGATGATCTTCCCTGAGCTCTCCTTGCGCCTGAACAGGTCTATGGGAATTGTTCTGGTGGCCCACAGTGCTACGCCGCTCCATAACAACCTGGATACTTTGATTTAACTTGCCCACTCCAGGCAGGAGTTGGATGAGGTTACATCCATGGATCCTTTGCCACCTATATTATTCTGATACTCTAACAGGCCTTACTAGGCCTTTGGAGAAAACTCAGAAAGATAAATGAAAATTGAGCAGTGTATCCGGTATGTACAAAAATATTAAGGAGGAATCATCTAGACAGCAAGCACAAGAGACATCATGGCTAAGCTCAGGATGTACCTCATAGATTCATAGTTTTCTTTTTATTATTCTAACCATCATGTCCTAAAGAAAGAAGGAACCGGATGAATCCTCCCCGTAAATCTGGGCAACTGTGTGAAGACTAAATTTATAACACTGTTTGGAAACATTGTTCAACCATCTTATTAATGCTCGTTTAGCCCCACCTCAAAAAGCTTTGTAGAAAGAACTCCAGTTGAGTAGAATAAACTTCTGAAATCACTCCTCCAAATGAATATGCATTAGAACTGTAGCGATTATTCTCAACCCTGAAGTGTCTGGTGTAATAATCAAGGAAAAGACTTGTTGAAAGTTATAACGCATTAAGGTCTCATTTAAAATTCTCAAGCACCCTGGCAATAATAAAACTACTCTAAGAAATCATAAAGAATGTTTTTAGAGAGTAGCACAGATATGAAATATAGTCTAAGAAGAATTTAACCATGATCAAATATGTTAAGCTGTATACTTTGAGTATTACTTGTGTATACAGATACAAAAATACCCAGATTTTGTAGCAGGCCTTCTGACCCATTCCATGGAATTTTTGCCAAAATCTCTTAAGTGTTCTGGGTCTGCTTAATACAAACACTTTGGTTGTACTTATTGACTACTTGACATTATTCAGCTCTTGGAGACAGATTTTCATTAAACATCTTTAATAGTAAAAACTCTTTCATCCACAAGATTGCCTTTATCCACCATGTAAATACTTTTAAGAAGCAAAAAAATAGTTTTTGAAAATTGTGGGCGTTTTTGTGGCTTCATGGGGGTTCTTTGGTGCCAGTTTTTGTTTTGTTTTTTAACTACTGAAGTAATAATTTACTTCATTAAAGTTCTTTATCATCATTTAATTACCAGTTCACTGTTCATCTGTCAAATTAAATGCATTACTAGAAATTTCTATTCAGATAATGAATACCAAAATAATTCCTTGAATAATATATTAAAATTTCACTGCATCTAAATTACTTGCCTCATAACTATGTTGACTTTGAAAATTTTAAGCTCAAACTAATGAATTCCTCCCTGTGCACATTATTTATTTTTACACACAAAAGGAACAAAACTTCAACCATTATTCATCCTAAAGTGCTTTCCAAAATTGGATAACAACCACTTATGATGTCTACTGAATTGCAGAGAAAGCTATTAGCCCATTTAATACACTAACCAATATAAGTCTGCAGTTATTTAAGCAGCAACCAAGATTAGCTTTGGAAGCCTATGTGGATGGAAAAAATCTAATGTCATTTTCACTACCTACTGCTAAACTACCTTTTAAATATTTACTGTTGTATTTATTCACTGTACAAACCAAAGCCCCTAGAGTCATTGCAAAATAAAGTAAAAAAAATCATCACCTATGAGAAAATAAATAAATATCTTAACTAGATCTTTTTACTCTTTCCAACAAGTTATTTTTGCCCAATACAATGAGGGGGAAAAGAAAAAAAAGAAAGAAAGAAAGAAAGAAAGAAAGAAAGAAAGAAAGAAAGACAGAAAGAAAGAAAGAAAGAAAGACAGAAAGAAAGAAAGAAAGAAAGACAGAAAGAAAGAAAGACAGAAAGAAAGAAAGACAGAAAGAAAGACAGAAAGAAAGACAGAAAGAAAGAAAGAAAGAAAGAAAGAAAGAAAGAAAGAAAGAAAGAAAGAAAGAAAGAAAGAAAGAAAGAAAGAAAGAAAGAAAGAAAGAAAGAAAGAAAGAAAGAAAGAAAGAAAGAAAGAAAGAAAGAAAGAAAGAAAGAAAGAAAGAAAGAAAGAAAGAAAGAAAGAAAGAAAGAAAGAAAGAAAGAAAGAAAGAAAGAAAGAAAGAAAGAAAGAAAGAAAGAAAGAAAGAAAGAAAGAAAGAAAGAAAGAAAGAAAGAAAGAAAGAAAGAAAGAAAGAAAGCAGAAATATCAACTTATTTCTGAATGTATGCACTCACTGCCCTGATAATGGTAATTTTGATCTATTTTATCATGCTCAATACAGACTGTTTGTAGTCAGTGCTCATCACAGTAGTACAATATAAGAATTTTAGGATTATTTTTCTTCACACCATAAGACCGAAACTGTTCAGGAAACTATATAGACTAAAAGCACACGATAGTTGGCTTTTAAAGATTAATGGAAAGGAATGGCAAGATACTAACGATAGCAAACAACAAGCACTCCTCTCCACAGATATTTAGTAATCCATCATAGGTTATCAACAATATTCAATGCACTCAAGAGAAAATGTAATTGTTCAAACACAGTTCTTTTCAAATCCTGAAACCCCAACAGCTATTCTCACCACAGCAGAGGTCCCTCCCAGCTCAAGCTTGTTCCCTTTCTAGCATTTTGATTAGCACACAATCCAGGAATGAATGCAGCATTTGATACGCTGCCAACAGCATGTTTCTCTTCTCTGCCTACATTTGGTAGTTCTTTAGTCTTACTGCCACAAACCTTTTTGAGACTCAGTTCACTATACATGACTCTCCATTCTGAATTTAGAAATTTTAAGGTTCGTCATTATCCACTAAGATACTGTTATAAAATTTCAGTTATTATGACACATTATGCAGCTATTGCTCATAGTGTGAGTGTGCACAGACATACCCATCTGTCTCTCAGCAGAGCCTTTGCAGCTCCTCTACATCTGCACATATACTAACACAGTTCAGACCTAACGCACTTAGTCTGTGTGCCATGAATACAGATTTTACAAATCCATTTTTGGAACGGGAAATTTCTAGAACTTGGCTCTAACAGCTCAACCTGCTGAAATACACAGGCAAGGTACTCCCAGATGTAAGCAACTTAGTATCTTCCTATCACAAGACTATGATTTGTGCTACTCTGTGCATCCCATCTATAAAGCTTTAGCCTGCAGTTAAAAGAACGCCACAGCTCCATGGGCACAAGCTGTTTGACTGATGACTTCTTCTATCATTCCAGCTTCTTCTTGAAGAGCAACACATGTTATAATAACATAGAGCTCTTTTATACAGTCTTACATGATTTCATGTTCCGAGTAAACTGGTATAGGAAAAACATGCTAAACTGTTTTAGCACGTACATGCTGTTTAAACCAAAATAATCTGTCCCGAACAAAGCTGCACAACAGTCAACTGCCCTTCCACTTCTTGCCTGGGTAGCATGCCAATAAGGTTCATGACTTATAAAATGGTCAGAGATGCCCTAAGTGAAGAAGTGGAATAACAGCACACAGAATGAGAAATTCAAGGAGCACACAGCAGGCATTTTGCATATTGGTTCTCTGTGGCAAATACCACTGGAAGAAAATCTATCATACAAGGAGTGACCTTCAGAATGACATGATTCTTACAGTTGAATAACAGAAAACACTTACTGAAAGCCTCAGCCTAAGTGTTAAATCCTGGCCCGGGATAAAATTAACTGAATATATTAATAAAGGCCACATCTTCTGTAATAACAACTCCACAAAAACCAAGTCATGATAACGGCATTCTGAAACAGAACATTTGTATCGGTTAAATATTGCCATGAGGTAACTGCTCTTGCATATAAAAATGTTATGGTAAGGTGTTTTCTTTCAAAACACTCAATTCAAAATAGATTAGATACATGCTACACATTCATTATTCACATATCTTTCAGCCTAAGCTCTGACGTCTTCAGATCTATTTACTTATCCTTATAAGAAAAGCTTATCAGGAGAAGGAGCTAGCTATTCAGGAGACCTTCATTTAATAACATTAAACTTGGCAGAGTAGGTGTTGGAAATGTCAAGGTAACAAAAGCACTTTTTCTTGTGATTATTAGTAGTCCATTTATACTCCTGTCAAATTAAGACATGTCTGCTTGAATACATATTTCAATACATTATCCTGATACTCAGAATATCTGCAATGAACCCTCTGGAGACATTCAGATGGAACTTTCCTTTATCCATTTACAACTGACCTTGCCACCATGAATTTAACTAAAAAGAATGACAATAAGTTTATTAGTGTTGAATTCCAAGGAAGACATTGGAAATGTTGAGGTAGCTAGCTAGCATGAAAGGATATCAAGCATAGAATTAATCCACCTGTATTTAACAAGCTATTAATGATTAATACACCTGAAAGACCTATCATAACAGCTCACTGTCTGTCATTATTTTCAGTTGCTGCTACGTGATATGCATTGGAACTAGGGGATACTGAAGTACATCCTTATGAATCAGACCCCAAAGTGAAATGCTAAGACATATAGCAGAAATTGCTTATCTGCTTACCCTTCAGTAAACAAGAGGGAGAAGGAGAGAAAGATGTCCCAGTCATGCAGCACTGAGGCTGTTTTCCAGTCACATGCTATGTTTTACCTCAACTTAGAAAAATCAGTCAGAGAATCATAGAATCCCAGGTTGAGAGGGACCTCAAGGATCATCTGGTCCAACCGTTCTTGGCAAAAACTTGCTCTAGACCAGATGGCCCAGCGCGCTGTCCAGCTGAATCTTAAAAGTGCTCAATGTTGGACAATCCACCACTTTCCTGGGGAAATTATTACAATGGTTGATTGTTCCCACTGTGAAAAATTCTCCTCTCCCCAGGAGTAACTTGTACCCATTACCCCTTGTCTTTTCCATGTGACTCCTTATAAAAAGGGAGTTTTCTTCTTTGTAGCCACCCTTTAAATACTGGAACATGGTGATAAGATCTCCCCTAAGTCATCCCTTCTCAAGGCTGAAAAAACCCAGTTCTTTCAGCCTTTCCTCACATAGCAGTCTTCCCAGTCCCTTGATCATCTTTGTGGCCCTTCTATGGACCCTCTCCAGCCCGCCTGTAACTTTTTTGTATAGCTCAAACCAAAACCAAACACAGTATTGCAGGTGTAGCCTGACAAGCGCTGAGTGGGATAATGACTTCTTCACCTCTGCTGGTGATGCCCTTGTTGATCCAGCCCAGCACCTGGTTGGCTTTGCCGCTGCAGCCTGCTGCTCACTCATGTTGAGCTTGTTGTCCCTCAGTACCCACAGGTCCTTTCCACGGAGCTTCTCCCCAGCCAGGCAGATCCTAGCCTGTGCCGCACTCCTGGATTATGTTTTTCCAGGTGCAAGATCTTGCACTTGCCCTTGTTGAAATTCATGAAGTTCTTGTTAGCCCACTCTTTCAGCCTATCCAGGTCCTCCTGCAGGATGGCTCTCTCTTCCAAAGTGTCCACTTCCCCTTTCAGTTTGGTATCATCAGCAAAACTCATCAGGGTGCATTTGATCCCATCATCCAGATCACTTATGAAGATATTAAACAGCACTGGGTCCAGTATTGATCCCTGGGGGACCCCACTTGTGACAGGTTCCCAGTTTGAAATAGAGCTACTTACCACCACCCTGTGGGTGCAGCCAGTCAGCCGGTTCCCCACCTACCGCCCAGACCGCTTGTCTACACTGTAACCCATCAGTTTCTCTAGGAGAAGACTGAGGGCAACAGTATCAAAAGCTTCATCTCATCTGCATACTGCTCATGTTTTGGCATCAGCAATTAAACCACTTTAAATTACACTCATAGGAGAGCTTTTGCTTGCCCTTGAAAGTTTAATTGTTGTTCTGGATCAATGGCATTAGCAGGCCTCCTGCTCAGTCACTGGTTTATTAAACTTAAAAACTGCACCATGCCTCCCCCTTATATTTCTTCACTTATTAGACATTCAATCAAACTTTTGGATTTGGTCAATCCTTCAGAGCAGTTATAAAACTTCATGTTGTTATACTCTCAAGCATAGTCTGTGAAATGTGAGTTGTAGCACAAAGAGCTGAAGTTATCACACTGATGAGTAGTCTACCAGAAGTTACATGCTAAACCATTAGGAACCTTACCACGCAGAGCTATCAATAATATGTAAAACGCCCTGAGTGTTCATTGATCCCTGAAAAAGTCTGATCTCCATCGAGGAAGAAAAAATAATATCAAAGGTGGTTGGGGCTTTTTTGGTTGGTTGGTTGGTTTGTTTTCTTCTTTGACCTAACTCATTTGGAGTCAAGTTCATTTAATCAAAGAGAACTTTAACAGCTCCTGTGATGCTTTAAGTTATTCTATTGTAGTTATTCTATTGTTTGACCTTAGTTATCTCAGTAGTTCAAATTACGGTAAAGTTTCTGGATGCCATATTAGCAACTCCCTATAAAACTATGCTTAGTATTGTGCAAGCAGAAGGAGGACCTGCAGCTGTGGTAAGCCTGGGAGGAGAGATTCTTTTAGTTCAGCAAGCTATAAACAGGTGTGCTTTTATAGGAAAGTACTCTGTACTCTCAAAACATTTTAAGGCAATCTGTCACCTTCCTAAGAGACAATATTAGTGCCATTAATGCAGCCAATAACAGGGGAAATACCCATTCTGGTTTTGACTCTTAAACCAAAGCTACTAATCGGAGTTGAAAGTGTCCTGCTTCTCTGCTCTGCTGGTATACAGGACCCTTTCATACTGATTTTGGCCACCAGAAATTGGACCTGCTAATTCATTGTTACATTCCAGGATTTAGCCAACAGCTGGCTGCCAAAAATGAGTTCTGTCATTCTGTCTTCACGGGCTTCCTGACTTGACCTTTTTTTTCTCTGGTTTCAGATGTGAATTTTTTTTAGTCAGAAATTAATGTTTGGCATAATCAAAACATGACTTGTATTTCTGATGAGACATAAATACATACATGGAATATAAATCAATTGTTACTGACAACCCACATATATATCAGAAAGACAAGACTGGGAAACATTCCAGAAACATCCCCATGAAGCAGACAGAAAATATACATTAACATGATGAACAAGGTACACACATTTGCTGAAGAGAGGACAAACTTGTCAGAATATTTTGACTTTCCTTTTGAAGCCAGTTATTAAGCCACTAAAGTATCAGACCTCACCCGCTAAAACAGCTAATTCAAAACCAGTCATTGAGAAGTATGTTTAAATAGGAAGCGTGTTTGCATTGTCTTCAGTTTTGTTATTAAAAAGAACTAAGGATGGGAACATTTCTTATCTTGCAGATGTCTTAGCCTTAAACTACTTCTACACATCACAGTAAGTCAAAATAACTATCTGAAATTCTAAGCATCATACAATTAAGGGCTAATCCAGAATTCTTATTTTGAAAAAAACTCCTACCAACAACAAAAAAACCCAAACCCCATGCTATTTTTATGTTTTCTTGTTGACACACAATAGTTCTTGTATTACTGAAAAAATATGTGATCATTTGTTAATGATGCTACTGGAGAACACAAGGTAAAATTTTGCTAGGTGTTCATTAAAAATATTTGTCCCTGTACTGAAAAAAAATACTCAGTGTGCTTATCAAATGTAGGGCCAAATTATGATACATATTTTATGTAATGTAAATATTCAGTAGTTTCATTGGTGTCACTTATGGAGAGACATTCTGCATATGGAATTACATCTAATGAATTCTGAAGTATCTCTTTAGGAGCCCATTATATTTTTAACGTTCTAATACAGTGAAATTTCAGCTTAAAATGAAAACCATTTGATTACTATAGATTGGAAAATGCCTGTAAGTTCAATACTATCATGTCACATTGCGGGACATGCACCAACCTTAATAAACTTCCAATGTTTTAAGATTTAAATAGATTCTAATTAATTGCTAGGGAAAATAGCTTGTTTTGTTGTTTTTCTAAAATGTCTAGTAACACCTAAATAAGTGATGAGTGATGGGTATTTCCATCAAAAATGTTTATACAATAATCTGGGTAAGAGAAATTATCTCAGAAGAGCGTAGAGGAGAGTGACAGCAAAAGCTATCGCTTCAAGCTTACAAACAGCCATTCAACTCCTACTGGTAACGTAAATCACTGTCTATTCAATCTGCAAGTATTCTATCTGAATAATGTACTTTTAATCAAAGTAAGGAATGAAATAAGCTCCAGAAATTCTGGGTTTAAAATTCCTTTTGTTCTACATGAGAAATGCTGGAACTAAGTGGGGGAATACTGCAGGTGATGACTGTGGTCCAAAATATGACAATTAGAGGTGTTGATGTTCTGCATACTGTGAATATATTTTGTGTCTGTACCTAATTCAGATGCCTGACAACCTGCTCCGTAATGAAACCCCAATTTTGTGTGCATGTCTGGCAGTCTCTGCTTTGTAGCAAGAAATGAAATTTTACTCTTATCCAGCAGCATCTAAATGTTCTGCTAACAAAATATATCCATACAACTTACTGCATGCAAAGTTGATTCTTGACTGGTACAATCTCTCCATAGGTATGTCTACACTTATCACTTAGCTGAAACTTTATTTTGTTTTCAGCCCAAACCTGTGCAGCAGCCCGAGGGACAAAATCCTCCTCTTGCTTCACATCATGTCTGACAGATCTGCAGGTAGCTTTACCAACTGATTCATTTCCCAGAACCAAGACTAGCTTTGTAAGAGGGGTCCTGAATTAGAAGCATTGGCTGTATAGATGCCGCACTTATATCTTAGTCTAGCATTTCACACCTGATAATAGTGACGAGGAGAAGCAATCACTTCTTGCTCCTCCTCTTTTTCTGTTACAGTTGAAACATAACCATATCTGAACTTCCTAAAAAGAGTTCCAATAAAACTAAGTTCCCTATACCCCAAGCCTTACTGCTATGGAATGATCACGCCTCTTTAATCCCACTGTGACAGAGACCAAGCTGTACCTGCTAGATTACCAGTTTGGTTTCCCCTATGTTGTTCCCAACAACCATAGTTTGATGGTGGGGGCTCCATCTCAGACTCACATCCACACACAGTCTACTGGAGAAACTTGAAGCACCTTCTCTGACAATACAGACCCTAGCAACTTTTAAAGAGCAAGCTAATGCATGGCTTCAGCTCACCATTCATGATGTAGCTGTTAACTGCATTTTTGCTCTTACCTGCTTTTTGTGATGTCAGCTTCATTTTGTTCATTTTGTTTATGTGGAGTACAAGTTCCCTCATTTTTGCTATGTAATAAGACTGCACACAGAAGGTGGTGAAACATGAATTGCTGCATTCATTGAAATGAACACAGAAGGTCACAGAAATTCAGAAACTATAGGTGGCATGAGGTATCTCCTCCAAACCCCTCTGCTATCCACTTAGCACTAATTGATGAAATCATTCATTTGGTAACATATGTTGGTCAATAATCTAAAACAATCAGACATGGACAGTTGAGCATCTCTTGGGCTCCGCTTTCTCTGTGTATTATTGGCAAGTTTTCTTTTTAATTGTTTCAGCATTTACATTTAAATATAATTGGTCAATACACTCTTTCTTCCATAAACAGGAAGTAACTTTAAGATACCCAGCATTCTTGTCAGCTTCAGTGACATGGGGAGGTAGCGAACTTCTCAGATCATTGTATTTCTCTAATTACTGATTAACATGTTACTGGTACATCTTGGTTAAAAAAACAAAAAAACCCCAACCAAACAAACAAAAAAACCACAAACTCCCAAACAAACAAACAAAACAAAAAAAAACGGACAAACAAAAAACCAAAACAAAACAAAAAACAAAACCCACAACAAAACAAACCCAACAAAAAAAAAACAAACAAAAACCTTGTTTCTTTCAAGCTCCCTTTCCTTTCCGAGGAACTCCCAGAAGAGCCAGCTGGCACTCACAAACTCTCACTAGTTATTTCAAGACAAATGTTTACTTCCTTTATGGAGTGCTAAAGTAGCACATCAGTGACAGTTTAATACCAGGACCAAAAGCAATTTCCTGTAGAAATCAGAACAGTAACCTTGATTAAAACAACCCAGATCCTATTTTGAGACACTAAGTTATCAGCTAAAACAAGAAAGTAAGTCTAGAATTGAGTTGTGATTTATTTTCTTAGGTAGCATCCTAGATTTCACTGAACAGAAAAATTAAGTTTCTATTAATAAGCTACTTGAGAATTTAACTACTGTATCACAGCTGAACAGCACTCAGTTCCAATTCAGAGGTCAGTGTGTTGTTTTTTTTTTTCTTAACATAATGTTGTGAACAATCAAGCGACTTCTCATTCTAATAAATGTAGGCTTTTTTTGTTTTCTTAATAGTCACAAGCAATAATCATCACCTAATGTTGTAAAGATTTCTATTGTCTTATCTTTTACTTTAACTGGGAGTCTAATTTTGAGAACTTTCTCTTATCCAGCTTTGAGCTCATAAGCTGCAACTCCAAGTCAGCTATAGGAAACTTATGTTCTATGTGGATTAGGAAAAAAAAAAAAAAAGGAGTGGTTTTTAGTGTAAGATGTTAACAAAGAATAGGTATACCCAGCTTACATATGGTATAACTGATGTACGCATACATTCCAGTCCATTTTCCCAACTCTGAGAGACTTTTCCTGTACCAACACCAGAATAAGCCTACATCCAAAAGTAGCTGCAAACCAGCATAGTTTGATTATATATATATTTCAAGATAACACATTTACAAACTCAATAAAGACAAAAGCATCCCAAAATATTAAGCCTTGAAACTATTCACAGTCACTGTTTCTTCTGTGACTTTTTGACAGTTTAAGGCTAACAGTTTCTGAGGATCTTTGATCTCTTGCCAATTGCTTCCTCTTCCCCTGATACATGACAGCTTGCTGCAACAATTTCCTTGGTCTTCCAACACCTCCCCTTTTCTTAACTTCCTTACCTTTTTAGTTTAAGGCTTGCTATGGGATATGGAGATACTATATATATATACATGCTTCTATTCTTGCTCTATAGCAAAACTATTTAGCCACCTTTTCTGTAGTAACTCTATCCTTTCATGCATTTCAGGTTTACAGCTTTTAGTCAAGTCTTCCTCTTTTGTTCACCCTGAAAATTACTTGGTTTCAATATACAGGGCAACACCAGATGTATTCCTACTGCAGGCAGCAATATCATCCTACAGAGTTACAGTCTCTTATGGTCTCTGCTCAAGAAAACAAGGACTGTATTAAATTTTTTTTTCTCAGCTGATCTTAACTTACCCACTTTCAGTTGACCTAGTAATCGGTTCTCTTCTACCCAGTAAAAGCTCATGAAAATCCCATGAATTAGAACCGACAAGATTATGTTTACGTTTATACTTGTAGACCATTTTAGATAATTAGAATATTAGAGCAAAAATCCATCAGTGTAAGGCTTCAAGTAATTGTATAGGGTTGTGGGGCTTTTTAAGGTATTGTGTCCATACAGAATAAATTACAGATACTTCAGAGAAATGTGGACTAGGTTACCAATTGCATCACTAAGTACAAAAACTATACAGTAACACATGGTTGGCCATGAATGTTTTAAGGACCACTGACTGATATATAGTGAGTGGTGATAACATTTCAAATGTAAACCTTAACAGGGACCTTACAAGAAAAAAAAAACAATTAACTGTTATTCTAAGCGGCAAATCTTGACCAACAAAATAATGAAACGTTCACTCTTTCAAAAGGCACCTTAATAGGATCACAAGTACAATATTCCATTCTGAGAACTTAACTACCAGGAAGATAACATTGGAAGACTTATCTAAATCCTAAAATTGCAACAAAAATGACTTGGAGGAATGGCAAGTTATCCTGTAATCAGTTAAGTAACTGACATATGTAAATAGGTAAACTTTGCTTACACTTGAGAGTGTAGGCTAATCAGCAGCCAATAAATTGATTTCTAAGCACTTCTTCCTGTGGCCTCAGGACATGAACTAATCCAGGCTGAAACTAATTTTTAAAAATCTAATTAACTCATTAGCTTGAAGTTAAAAAAAAGTCTTTCCTCATCACAAACACCTGTACAAGTCACAACAAAGCAAGCATGTATGTTTTTCTAGAACTTCACCAATTCTGTTAGTGGGAAAAGATTTCAGGGAACCAAACCTCTTAAACTCAAAACCATTTATCTGCTCTTCCACTATCACATTTTATGGTGACAATTCACCTTTCATGGATTGTAGCTAAATTACATACTACTGGGGAACATTTACTCCACCTTCTTTAGGAAGACTAATTGGACTAGACCTTCAAAAACATAAAAATCTGTAAATGAAATTAACTTTCTTGCAATACTACTTCATTCCTAAAGAAAATATTTTTAGAGATAAAGAAATTGTATGAAGGTAGGGGAGAAGTGATTAGGATTCAGCCCAGGCATCAGACTGAAAACTACTAAGGCACATAATATCCTTGAGAAACTTTCCTTGGATAGTAATTCCTATGGATTCTTCTCCCAGTTTAAGGATATTGACCTTGTCCAATTAAGCCTACAGTCCCTAGAACTCACCTAGCTACACACTGCTCCACTAACATTATAAGTTACTTATTTCTTTTTTTTTAGTTATCCAGATAGTTCCAATATTATTCAATGTGGTCATTATTTTTATTTTCATTCAACCAATTACATAACCAAATATACTTCATAAGCATTCAGCTGGCAACATCTGGGATTAATTAAAAGAATGCTGGAGAATAGGAAAATCAAAATGCATCAGATAGTCTCCAAAAACATAATGGCTATTCAGAAATGATGAGTCCAGATTCCTGCAGATCATTAAGCAGGAATTTAGGAAAATTAAGGGAATAATAGAGGCAACAGCGGATTACAAATCCTGAGATAATACTTGAGAAAGCAGCAAAGGAACTAGGATGTTGCTAGAATACAGTCAGACACTCAAACCCAAATATAGTCCAATCAAGCTCATTAGATAAATAAGAATCACTCCCCAAAAGGGCAGAGAGAATGAGAAGAGGCATTAAAATATTACTTAGGTAAGACTCCATGAGTTGGAGTGTAGTCTAAGGTTAAAAAAGTTAAGGGGGGGCAAACTTAAGTACATAAAAAGGTAACAGAAAGATAAAGAAGCAAATGTTTATTTTAGGAAAGAACCGAAGAGTTGCTTCTCTGCCTGATGGACAGAGAATTAACACGGGACCGACAGTTACTTCTTGTTGTCACTGCAGCGAGAAATTCGAAATTCTTGTCTGCTAAAACCAGAGCAGATGTTAATAAAAAAAATTCTAATATGGATAGAGAAACATTAATTACTTTCAGTAGTTACTTACCATTAGGGAACATTATTTGGACAGTACACCTTTGGAATGGTTTTAAAATAAAAAATCGGGCAAAGGCATATAGTGGTCTATTCCAGCTCTGTGACACAATGGAACAGCTTTTATTATTAAGATATCCACAACTTTAGTTAAGTCAGATTTAGTATTCTTCAATTGTCTTTGCATTTGCCAAGTTTAGCAAATATTGAATAAGCCACATGGTAATTTGTATTTCTGAAAGGTATTATAGTTCTAATGAATTAAAATTATCTTTATTCAGAAGTCAATACTTCTAAAGGTGTACCAATTAAAATTCATCTGCATATATTTAAAAGAGTTTTTAAAAGTCCAAATATCTGCTAAATCTACGTAACATTTTATTAGCAGAGGCTTGCTATTGTCTCGTATTGCTGATTTCACACAGAACCTCTTTTACAAAAACATTTCAGCAATGGATTTCCTGATGAATTTACATATTACAGTAGTCTGTCCTGAAGAAAAGTCATTTAATGCTCTCCTGTTTATTAGTGTACTTCTTAAAAAAAACCCAGAAAGACTGTCAGTGGTTACAGAGAAAGGACTGCAACAAGTCAGACTAAAACACCCGCATGAAAACTAGCTTGATGCCTGGTAGAGCAGATGATGTAAACTGACCATAAAGTACAAGCCTTTTCTGAACTGTAGCTGTCCAAAATCTTTTGAGACTTCTTTTTTAGGGCCCCCCATCAGATTTACAGTTGTGGTATTTGCATATCATGCAGCAATTCTCTAGTCACAGTAGGCAGGTTAATAAAGTTAGCTCTGAAGTGTTATGCTTTTAGTCAAAACAGCTCGTTAGCTTAACTGGTTGACTTGAAGAACAAAAATGAAATATCACTATGGCATCTCAGCGGGACAACTTATTGCATTGGGTTGGCAAATAGCAGCCAAAATACGCAGTAGGAAAGAAAAGATCCTTTCTAAACTGGCTTTCAGAAAAGCTTGAATTATTTATGATTGACTAAATTTGCTATTATGCAGACCCAGTATGCAGTTTTCGCCGTCTAGAAGAATGCATATCTGACCCGGTCATGCTAACAAAAACCCGCGATCGTAGGAAACATATCAAGGGGGAAGATTGGAAGCAAGCTAGTCCTTTAAGCATAGTAAAGGGATTAAATATAATTTTTGTCACCCTTGTTATTGGTAATATGTCAAATGGATGGTTTAGCACATTTTTAGAAGTTTGTTGTGAAACCTAAGTTACTGGCAACATTTGTAGATGAAATTAATGTTAAAATGTAACAGTGCTAATGGTGAATATTATGTGATGGAATGTATGATTATGAATAACATTTATGATTAATTCTATTATTAAAATTTTTATTAATTTTCAGAACATGACATGGCACAACATTGTAACTTGTAGCTATTGCATTTGCACTACTACTAACTTCAATTATTATTTTTTTTTTTAAAGAGTATTGCATGAGGGCAGATTCATTTAATTTAGTCAATTAAGATTTTAATAAATGTTCAATAATTCATTCTCTGTCTGTCTCTTTATCTAACATCCAGAGTATACTATCAAAGAGAAAATGAGAAAAATGGGCCAGCATTTGAAGTGGCCATGTGTTTTTTATGCAAATTTTTTGTGTTTACATTTTAAGTTCAAGAAAGCCTATCTAAACTTTCAGAGAGAAAAGGTGGAAGCAGACCTACCAAGTGGTACTGTGTACATTTACGCCCAGCTGAAAAAGTAGAATCGAAGTTGGATAAAATAAAGTTGGATAAAATAAAGTTGTATAAAATAAAGGACAAAACCACAGCTGCCCCATATAGTTTTTACCTATGGAATATGTGTTTTACAAACTAATTTTGGATTTTCCTGGCACAATTTCAAAGCAGTTTTTCATCTATGGCAGATAACAAAATCTTAGACATACAGTTTGTTCCTCCTGGGGTATTACTAAACATTGGAATTATGGCAGATGAAAAAACATCTGTTGTCCCTTAAGTGGAGCCTGGTTTTGCCATCAAAAATGGTTGAGTTTGGTTATTCTTTACAAATGTTTTACTTTTATGTTCTAATGTTCATTCCACAAAGTTTCTTAGTGCACCACTGACACCAATTATGATTGCAATAAAATCTTTTTTGAGACAGAAGTTTGAAATGGAAGTTTGGCTCACCATTTGATCAAAGGTTCAAGGCTCAGAACTTCAGAGAATATTGCCACAAAGCTTTGTCACTTCCCAGAGGCAAGATTTCCTTTTTTGCATGGGCAAAATACAAGAATCAGTAAAAACTTTGGATAAAGAACACAAAGATTTTGATGTATTTTTTAATAACATAAATAATTTGTTATTTAGCACTGTGTTGGGCTGGACAGTGAAATTGCTAGCTTCTTATTCACATGGTCTATCAAATCCTAAGAATTTTGTATCTTTTGAAACTTCATGTGTACTACATTTCACGATCCATTCTATTATGCTAATAACTAATCTGCCAAATGGCAATAATCTTCCAGATTTGAGGTATCATATTTACATCATTGCTGGAATGACACACTTCCCATCATGCAAGTAAGGAGACTTATATATAATAGAGCTACTCTGACATGGCAGAATGAAACCGTTAATGCCAACCTTAGAAAGAACTGAATAATTTTCCATAATCATGGGAAAATGAGAGCTAGAAAATGGTATATAATAGACAAGACCTTACAAAAATCCGTCAGTCTCTACAAAATTATTTCAGCTTCTTAGTAGTTTATAAAGCTTAAATAGTTAATAGGAAGAACCGATAATACCGCAAGAATAGTAAAATTCAATTAAGGCATATATTGAAATTAAGATCTATAATAATAATAGTAATAATGAAGAATTTCAAAATAGTTGCCAGGTAGTACAAAGAAACCAAGGCTTTGTTTCTTCTTGATCACTTTATATATACTAGTTAAAACTGAGGGTGGATTCATGAAAACACCTTAACCTACAGTCCAGATGAATATTCTAAGCTTCCAATCCATTTGGCAGCTTTGGTACACATGAAATAAAGCAGTATGTTTAAATGTTCTCCTATATACCAAATTTGAGAGTAGATCACTACAATGCTTTACTGAGGCATTTAATCTCTGCACAAGATGCTTAAAAATTGGATCTGAAGTCATCTTCAAGACAGTCAGCACCACCTACACAGCTATAAGACACATTAGTATTTGGCAAAGTCCTGCCTATACCATGGTTGAGGGTTTAATTTTTTTCCTTTGTTTTTCCTTTCCCAAATGCAAACTTCATTTGCAACTTCCAGTCAATGAGAAGTTCTCAACTGTACAGTTTTCACCCTCTGTAAGCCCAGTATTTAATTTCTTTTCATATGTGTGGGTCTATGTTAAATGAAATTTGATCAAATGCTACCCTAGCTGTTTCACACTGTCTGGACTCAGTTGCTGCCATTTAAATTGGACATAGTTCAGGGTCTTCTAGTTATTGCAACGAAGTCTTATAAAAGCATTCATCTTAAAATGGTTATAAGATTGAACTGGTGCAAGCGTAGAAGCACTGAACTATTTGACCTAAGGATAATTTAAAAGATGGAGATGAAGATTAGTTAATAATGCTTTTTCTGCTAGGGTAATATAAACAGATTACATGGTTTGTTACTTCCTACATTAATAAAGCAAATTATCTAAAATAATACCACTGATATCAGTATTCAGTGGAGTACTAAATTTGTTTTTCCAAGTTTTGCTCACATATTTACAAAAAACCTTAAAAGCTCATAATTCTCACTGTTCACTATTTGCTGTTATGTTCCATCTATTAAGTCATTGAGTCTTCCATTCCACAGGAAAACAGAGTTGGATGTCATTCATATACAGCTACTTTACAAAAAAAAAATTTGGTTCCTGCCTAGCCAGCATGTCCGCTCTCATCCAAGACAACTACACCATGCTGCAGCTGAGTTGTCAGACACTGCCTGTACAGTTTTCTTAAAAGCATTTAACTTACTATATAGGAAATTCCGTATTCACAAAGTTAATTAGAAACCTAACTCTCTCTGGACACCTATTAACTACTCCCAGATCCTCCAATTTATTTAGATATTTCACTCCTAAATGGCGCAAAATATTTCAGTGTATATCTAGTCTTCTGCTGAGTTCGGCTTACATTTAAAGCCAACCAGAACCTGTGTAACCACAATTAATATATCACTGAGCCCACCTAATGTGTCCAAACTCTCAACAGAATTGATCTGAATTCAGCTCTGTGCTAACCACAGCTACATAGCTTCCATCCAACACAACAGAGAGATTGTATGTGTCTGCTCAGAAAGCAAGCCGAGGGATATCTTCACATCCATTTTCAGACTAACGTCTGTGTTCTCGCTTGTTCTGTAGAAGTCTCTCTACCCATTTACTATATAATACACACTTCATATCTTCTGAATTATACTTAAGTACCCATGCGTAAAAGCAGATACTGTGAAAGACTCAGACATATGTTTGCCTCTGCTGGCTGAAGACCATGAAATATAAATGTATATAAAACCCTCACTTAGTTAATTTCTCAGATAATCTTTTCATTTTGTTAAGTATTCAGCAATCTCTGATTTAGGGACTGAGACTCAACCCTACAAAGCCATGAAGCAAAACTGTTAAAGTATATGGTCAATTTTTAGTACTGAAAATAGCATGTAATATCTTAGAGTTTAGCAGCATTTGTACTGAGCATGTCTATACCACACCAAAAGTAAGGAATGGAAAATATAGGAGATATCTTATTAGTAACTTCAGTGGGAAAGCAGCTGATTTTATGACAGCAGAATGCATATTATTTTACTTTCCAATTATGGCAGCTCTCCCCAGTCCACAAACAAAAATTTAAAACATCTAAAAGAAGAACCACCAGAGGTTCAGAGGCTGCAGCTTGCTTCCCACTACTACTCCCAGAGAAATCTAAGAAGCCAAAAGCTTCTCTAAAACATATGTGTGTTTGTTTTTTTTTTTTTAAAAAAGAGCAACTTATTTTGATAGACCAGGTGCTACTTCTGTTAAGCCATTGCCATTATCTATGGATTTTTCCAGATTTAGAGACATTTAAGAAAGTTAGCCTTTTACAAAATTACATTCAGAAGACACTCTGGTTGAACTTTCTGCGATCACTCAGACTTGAAAATCTCTAGATAATAAACTTTTAAGTATTTCAAGAAACGCTTCAGTGTGCCTGGGGAGGACGGTGTTATTAGTATTCAACACTAAACAGTGCTGGGAGGTAAGGAAAGAAGCACACTGTCTTTCTTCCAGTAATTGTCATAGCATTAAATGTTTCTCCTGTAAATGCGTATTTTCCCTAAGCAAAGATTTAAACAGAAGAATTATGCATCTTCAAGAAAAGTATTTAAATAGATAATGAGGATGCTAGGTTTTATTAAAGATGCCATCACTGGCTACATTTATCTTAAGCCAGGCCCAGATGCTCGAGCCAGTGCAAAATATCCATTTAAATCAATAGTAGATTTGAGCAGCAACTAGAAGATTACACCTGCAATAAAGCCTGAGAGATTTGCCTCCTGTAATTGTCAAGCTACAGCTCTTGCTGGTGGAGCAATGCAGGCTCACTCCATGTTACCACTCTTCACAGTAGGTAGTTTAAAGAACCTGCATGTCTGTGAGGGCAATGACACTGAAGTAATGGGGGATCGTAAATGCAATAAGTTTAGTTGTTCCTTTAGTTGTGTCTGACCTAGAAGATAACAGAAGCCATTGCTGTTACCAGTTCAACCATTATTATTCCAGTTTAAAAAATTGCTGATTTATCACCACAAGAATCTTAAAGGGAACATGTAGTTTTGTTATGATTATGGGGAAATAAAATATTGTTTCTAATAAGATAGGATCAGGCTCTCTGCTCAACAAAGACACTTGCCTGCAGCTATTACACAGTGTGACTTGGAGTCTGACCACTCTTTATTCTCCACTTTGCAGTAAAGAGCCATGAGATGTACGCCACACTCTAAGCCAATAGCAGGTCATTATAGAACTACACATAGAGGAAAAAAAGCCCTGCCAACTTAACTACATTTCTGTTTTACTCTGGTTTTGACTCTAGCTTCATGACATTTACAGAAGCATCCTATTTCTTTCAGATATTTCCCCTCAGATATGATGAAAGTGCCATTCAGACTTTTACAGTTCTGTTGTAGAATACTATAATACTTCAAACAAACAGTACTTTTACTTGAAATAAGATGCTCATAAGCTGAACAAATAACTCCAAATCACTCAGCTGCAAGTAAAAAACAGCAAATAACTATTTTCTGTGACAAAATAGAACACATGAAGAATGTAGGGAAAAGAAGTTTGTCTTACATCAATTCATGCATGATGATCTGCAAGTACCTTTAAGGAAGTTCTGTTCATGTTAATTCTAAGAAAGTATAACCATACCAAACATACCAAATCAGTAAGGTGGGCTTCATTCAATTTATTCACCAAAGGTACTTTTCAGTTCTCAACTACTAAGGAATCTGGCTGCAGGGAAGCTTATTAGCTTATCACAAAATTCTCCTCCTGCTAAAACTCCCTTTCAACAGTACTGCTCATGGATGGCTTCTAGTACTAAATGGTCATCCAGAGAAGAACAGTGACACTTCATAATTGTGCTTACTGGAGATTACTCAAAGGAGTGAAGTGTGTGAAATCCTTAATCCTTACTGATTGCAACTCCTCCTCTCCTCAGTTCTAGTCTCCATTCTTTGATATGATGAAAATTTCTTAAGAATTCGACAAAACCTGTCATTCTTCCTTGCTCCAGGAAACTCGTTTGGTTAACCCCACTCCATGGTCATTGTGCTTGACATGATTTTACAACACAGTGGTTTTGTCTTCTATGTGCAGACTTTCTAAGATGAACTCTAGTGAAAGCAGTAGTGACCCTCTAAACACTCATTATTTGTTTCCCCTCTAACCCTTAACACTTGTAACACCATTAACATATATAAAAGTTTGAAGACATAAATCACCATTAAAACTCCTTATTTACAAATCTAAGAATAGCCAGAGTAAAACCCACATTTCTCAATGTGACCTCAATAAAGCACATTATCCTTTAAAAAATAAAATATTCTCATGTTAATACTGCATCAGCCACATATTCTTAGCTGACCCCTGTAGTCATACCTTCCAGTTAAACATAACACTGGACTAACGAGTTTGCATACTGACAGTAATGCAATAGCAACAGGGTAGATGGCACAGGATAACCACCAACATATTATCTGTGGCTAAGGATTACACTATACCGATATTTTCTTACCCATCTCCGGCACCATCAATCACTATTTTCATTTGATTTCTGCTTTTATCAGAGACTTGTTGGAAATTCCCTCTGCCATAGAAATTTTCTACTGCTCAGATGTCAACCTACCTCCACAGGCAGATATTTCAGTTGAGCAAGTCAGCAGTAGCTGAATGTAGCTGAAAGTAGGTTTCCCAGAAGCATGGGTACTGCAGTTCCTGGTTTTGCCTCAGAAAGTGGCAGGAGGCATATTTTTTTCTGGATTTGACTGAAGCAGAAAGGAATTAATTCACTCTGTCAAGCCTGTACTTATATCTAAGCTTGAGGCCTGAGCTGCAAAGTATTAAAACCTTATGTCCATGTGCAAAACCATCAGAAAACAAAAGGTTAGAGAACAAGAATATCATAGGGGCAGCTTGAGATCTTTCTTTCTGCAGGCAAAACAAATCACAGAAATTCTGCTAAGTGACTTGGTGACAATGCTCTCAGTTAATACCTTCCAGAATAATCCAGTTCCCAGCTTTACCACTGCTTCTCTTCTTACATAACATACAATTATGTGAAGTTTCCCAGCTTTGTATCTCTAGTGTAGACATTATGAAGGTTAGCTTAAACCACAGATGCCAGAAGTGTGACACTGATGGTTTCTGTTTCACAGATAAAATAGTTTTCTTGTATTTCTCCCATTTTGCTTCATCTGTGCTAAGTTACAGGGTAGACTAAGCTATCATTTAGCTGAACCAGAAGAACATACATATAGATAACACTAACATACTAGAAGGAAGGGAGTGAATACATTGCTAAAATATTGTGGTGGGGTTTTGGTAGCAGGGGAGGGGGCTACAGCTGTGGCCCTTGTGTGAGAAGCTTCTCGAAGCTCCCCCGGCTCCAAGTCGGCCCCACCTCTGGCCAAGGCTGAGCCAGTTAGTGACGGTGGCTGCGCCTCTGCCATAACGTAATTAAGAAGGGGAACCTGGGAGGGGGAGCTGGAGTTGTGAGGAGGAGTTACGAGAAGGACACCTGTGGGAACACCCAGGTCAGTGGAAGGAAGGAGGAGGAAGGGGCGGGAGGTGCGCTGGAGCAAAGCCCCCCTGTCTCCTGTGGGGAGACGGCAGGGCCACCCCCCTGCCACCCGTGGAGGTCACCGGTGGAGCAGAGGCCGACCTGCAGCCTGTGGAGGGGCCCGCACCCGATCAGGAGGCTGAGCTTGAAAGAAGCCGGGACTCTGAGGGGAGAAGCGCCCCCCCCAGCTGTGGTAGTTCGGCGCTGGGAGGACTGCAACACGCAGGGGGGACCCACGTCGGAGCGGCTCGGGAAGGGCTGGATCATGTGGGGAGGACTCACTGCGGAGAAGGTTCATGGAGGCCTGTCTGCAGTGAGAGGGGAGCCCCGTGGAGCAGGGGAGGGATGTGCAGCGTTCACCCCGTCTCCCGAGGAGGAAGGAGCGGCAAGCTGACTGTAACCCCCATCCCCTGCCCCCTGCACTGCTGGGGGAGGAGGGAGAGAGATGGGGAGCAGAGCTGAAGGGCTGGGGGAGGTGTTTTGGGATGTGGTGGCGCTTCTCACTGTCCCACCTTGTCTGTTAAATGTTGGGGGTTTCTAGGGTTTGAATTAAAGTGATGCTCTTTTTTATTTTCCCTAAGGAGTCTGTCTTTTGCCCATGACTGTAATGGGTGATCCACCCCTCCCTGCCCTTATCTTGATTCTGGAGCCTTTTGCTTCATTTTCTTCTTCCCAGCTCTGTGAGTGGGAAGAATGCATGAGCAGCTGCGTGGTGCTCAGTTGCACTCTGGGCTCAAACCGTGACAAACAGTTGCCCGGCTACAGGTGAGGCCCTTCCTGAACATGAGGAATAAAGTAAGAAAAAACAGCATTTCAGAAGTAACATATGAACATATAAATCATAAATTAGTTGTTGTCATTGACATTATTTCCATATATACAGAGGAAATTACAGAAGACATATAGAAGAAGTTATTTAGCTCTACTACATCGTCTGGTTTTAGTTCTGTTTGCCCTCTAGGTTCTGAGTGATTCCTTCCATTTCTAGCTACATAGTAAATTTGAGGGTGAAAAATACCAAATTTGAACAATGGTTGCTGAATATGTATATGAAGTGAAAGTTAATGCAAACTAGAATATAATTGAAAATCAAGTCAATCTTTGCAAACCTATCTACAGTTTTTTAAAACTCAGCTATTAACTGCAGCAGATAGAGCTACTACTAGAATTTCACCACTAGATGGCCTTATTTAAGTAATAACCTAGCATCATCAGTTATAAAGGTTTATGAAGTAGCAGACAGCATGTACATGTTACCCAAATTCCTTTTCTCGGTATGCAAGATAATTTGACACTGTTGCAAGGAGAGTTGCAACAGCACCTTGTTTAACAAAGTCCATTTTCACCTGTCTGAGTAGCTGGAAACCCCAGTTTCATCTGAGGCCTTGAGCAGATCATAATCATAACATAGGACACAGAAGTTTGATCTCAGTTCTGCTAATGTCTAAAATGGTGGGCTTCTTTTTTCAGACTTTAGCTGTCAGTTATGATACACCAAGGCCTTAAGAAACCAGTGCTGGATCAATTGTTATTCTGATAAAAAACTGTTTCTGATCCCCCAAAGCAAACATTTTAGTCTGTTCTTGACCTCCCGGTTATCTCAAAGTAATTTCTTAACCTACCTATCATTCTATGTTGCATTTGAGTCACAGCTTATGTGCTTCATTACTTACTGGCAATATTTTATCTTGAAGAGTAAAGGAAAGACAAAATTTAACATCCAGAACCACAGAGCCTTTACCTTTAGAATGGCACCAACTATTATAAGATGAGGGTAAGTAACTATGAGTAAGAGCTCTGATACAGACTAAACTCTGAAAAGCTGGAATCATTAAAGAAGAATAAAATTTGGAGATTTCAATCCAAGTAATTACAGGGCTGGCAGAGAAATCTAAGAATGTCCTTCCCTGGAAGAAATACTCATGACAAAAGTGTTTCTTAGGAACAGGATCTCAGCCACCAAACAGCGTAAGGATTGAGAGCTGTTTTCTTGATGTGCATTCAATATATAGGTGGCTACAGCTGTGTTTGATTAAATCTATCCTCAATAGTGACTCTCAATCACTAAGTCACAATTATTACTTAACTTTTAATTTAATATTTATTATTAAAAGCAATTTCGCCCCATGTACCATGAAATCACAAGACATCCAATTCCTATGATACTTTCCAAATCTTTAAACTCAGTGCAATGATACAAATAGTCAAGAGGCAGCAGAGTTGCTCCCTCAGAGGCTACACAGGCCACTTGAGGAGCCAGTACCCAACACCATGAAAAAGCAGGAGTTACTGTGAAAAAGATGTTCCCCAA